TTTTGATAAATCTCGGTTCATCATCAAGGATTTGAAAACTCAACACACTCTTCTCCAAGATTCTTGCTCAATGGCTTATATCCAATATACGATCATCATCTGAATACTCCAATCATTGTGGCTGCTGTTGCAAACTGGGATATCGAGTTTGTGATTTTTATGATAACAAATATTATTGATTGAATTTTCATTTCTCCAACTATTATATATTGCATATATGTTTATGTATGTACTAATATTTCAAATACAACATATATCATGCAAAAGGATTAAGGGTTCAAGTTTGGGTAGAATAGCATGACAAAGAGTATGTAATCTTTATTTCTTTTATTCTTATATTTATTGAATCATAGTCATGGAAAAGGTGTATGCTTCTGTCGACTGTGCACACACACAGGGGCGTAAGAAAATAATTTTTACAGTTTTTAACTAATCATATTGTATGATTAGATACTTTTGAAACGACATGAAACAGCTCATTTTTTTAATTAATTTTCTTTGAACCAATCGTACTAATCAAGATCGTACTATACGATCTGTTTAAAATAGAAACCCTAGCCACCAATCAAAATTAAGTTTTTCAATTTTCGATTTTTGAACTAATCATATTGTTTGATCAAGTTCGTACAATACGATGTTTGAAACTTGCTCAATCAAAACCCCATGATTAGCAATCAAATCATGGGTTAATTAATATAGGCAATCGTATTATACGATCTTCAGATCATACTGTATGAAGAATATTCATCCCGACAGTCGTCTTGAATGAACCCTTGATTTTTTCTCTAGTCGTACCGTACAATGTCAATCATCCAGACAATGAGTAAAGACAATTTTGGTCATCCCACTAATCGTCCTATATGATCACATAATAATTAAACTAATCGTATGGTACAATCTTCAGATCATACTGTATGATCAAGTATGCAGATTTTGAATAGTTCATCCCGGGAATGTTCAATTATACTTATGGGATTTGATTTTAAAGCAATTGTATAGTACGATCATCGATCATGTTGTACGAATAGTTACGGCTTAATTGAAAATTTAGGGTTTTGGACCCCTTTGTATTCAAGCTCACTTAATAGACTTTTGGGAAGTCTTTGGTTGTTGAGTTTTCTAAGAGGGAGATGTTAGAGATCAAAGAGAGCTTGGAAAAGAGAATGAGAGGTTGTGTGCAAGGAAAAAGTAGTGTGAGAGGATTTCACACAGTTGCTCCAGCAAGCTTCTTCCTTGGTTCCTCTGAATGTCTTGCTTGTTTTCCTAGGTGGATCTGGGAAGAAGAACTTCAAGCTCGAAGATCTTCAAGGTTCTTTGCCTTCACCAGGAGAGTGAAAGTAGATTCAGGTTCTATGTCATCACCAGGTGGGTGAAAAAGGATTCCAGTACTCTACCGCACCGAGCTGGTGGAAGAGATTTCATAAGGGCTTCTCCGCCTTGCTGTGGGCGCTAAATAAGAGACACTAAAGGTTTAGTGCAATACCCATAAAAAGAACTTTGGGGAGTAGCCGTAGGTCATTTTTTAATCGAACCACTATAAAATTCAAGTGTATTCATTCTGATTTTTATTTTTTTAATTTTATTTTTCTGTGATTTATTTTTCTAAAAATTGCTTGTTGAAAAATTTGTATTTGATATTATATTGATTTGAGTAACTATCATCACCAATATTATAATTTTTATTTCGTTAATTTGCATCTACATCGGGTGATAACATTGGTAGTTTTAAGTAACTGAAAATTCTCAAAAAGAATTATTGTGTTAAAGAAATTTTTAAACAACCAATTCATATCCCCACTTGGTGTGCTTAGGGATAGTTCAACGAGGCCTAACATTCACCATTGAACTTTCAACTGCTAAATCCGTCTCCACATCAACCTCATCTTCACTTTGGCACCGATGTTTTAGTCATTTGAATCCCTCCACACTTGCAGTACTTGCCAAGTCTTTACCAAATTTATGTATTTCTACTTTAAAACTTTTATGTATACATGTGCTCAAGCTTAAGAGCCATAGACATTCTTTCAATGAATCAAAATCCATTTTTCATTCTCCTTTACAGCTTAAACATGCCAATATTTGGGATCCTTCCCCAACCATCTCAAATTTTGGATATCGTTATTACATATTATTTGTAGATGACTATTCACGATACACTTGGGTTTTATCCTATGCTTAATAAATTAGAAGCTCCACAAAAATTCATTATATTTAAATCGCTTATTGAAAAATAGTTACAAAAATCAATTTGTACCCTTCGGACTGATGCTGTTGGTGAATTTCTCAACCAAACTCTCCAAACTTTCCTAAAAAAATGGTATTCACCACCAATACACCTACCCCTATACACCTCAACAAAATGGGGTTGCCGAATGAAAACACCAACATCTCAATGAGACAACTCGAGCTCTACTCATTGATTCTCAACTTCCATTTTCTTTTTGGATAGATGTTGTCCTTAGAACTATTTATCTAATAAACAGACTACCCTCACCTACAACATCATTCATCTCTACTTTTCAACTCCTCTACAACACTACACCAACTTACAATCACCTTCACTCCATTCGTTGTCATTGCTACCCATGGTTACATCCTCAATCTCAACATAAGCTAGCACCTAGATCAACTCAATGTATCTTTATTGGCTATGCAAGCGCACAAAAAGGTTACAAGCATTACAATCTTACTCCAGGTCGGACCATAATCTCTCATGATGTAAACTATGATGAATCACATTTCTCATCTTCACAAGTAAATGTCCTTACAATTCCTACTGAACCAACCACTACACCTATTATATATCTCATTCCACAACTTCTGTCACACCAAACAAATACTCAACAACCACTATTCCCACCTCAACCCCTCTGCCATCCATTCCCACAACTCCATTTCCACTTACCTCCACATCTAGCTCCACCACAACTCCACATCAGTCCAGATCTTCTGCTTCATTGCTCATTAGCATACAAGATCATCATCCAATGATAACTAGACTACAAATCGGTTCTCTTAAACCCAGACAATTGCTAAATCTCAGCCATACTCACTAAACCACTCCTTCCTGCTATAGCTTAACCATCTAGCTTCCTCAATGGCATCAAGCATTATCAATCGAGTTTCATGCTCTTCAATCTCAAAGCACATGGACCTTAGTACCTCCACCTTTAGATCAGCATGTCATCAGGTGCAAATGGATTTTCAAGATTAAACATAACACAAATGGTTCTATTGCTAGATACAAAGCACGGTTGATGGCATAAGGTTTCAAACAAGATTATCTTGAAACATTCAGCCCGATTACTAAACCCACAACAATTCGTCTATTACTTACAGTGGCTTCTCACTTCCATTGGCAAATACTTCAACTAGATGTAATGAATGCTTTCGTACATGGGCCTTTATCCAAAATTGTCTACACGAGTCAACCTCAAGGTTTTCATGATCCCCAAATTCTAACCATGTTTGTTTGTTCAAAAAAACTATATATGGCCTCAAACAAGCACCACGTCAATGGTTTGCCACTCTAGGTTCATATCTCCTCAAATTGGGCTTTCGCACTAGTTCAACTGATCCTTCACTTCTCATATTTAATCAAAACAATATTCGCATCTACATCAATATCTATGTAGATGATATATTGCTCACCGAAAATGACCACTCCTCCATAACCACCCAACTTTCAAATTTTCATCTTCAATTTCATATGAGAAATCTAGGTCAAATTTGTCATTTTCTCGGTATTGATATAAAGTCTTCTCCAAGTAGCTACTCTCTTACAAAAAAAGCTTACATTTTCAAACTTCTTCAAACAACAGGAATGTCATCTTGCAAATCCTTATCTAACCTAATACCATCCAAAACCACTACATATACAGCTCAACAAAGGCCATTTCACAATTCTTCATTGTACAGGAAACTTGCAGGATCTCTCCAATACTTAACCCAACTAGCCTTTGCAATTAACAAAGTCTGTCAACACATGGATAATCCACTAGATTGCCATTTTTAGCTCATCAAATGTATTCTTCGATGCCTCAAAGGAACACTTCACTATGGTTTAGTTATCCAAAATAACACCCTACAGCTCAGAGCATATTCAGATTCCGACTAGGCAGGTGATAGTGTCAATCGCAAATCCACCACACGTTTTTGTATTTTCCTTGGTAAAACACTAATTTCTTGGTGTGTCAAGAAACAATCTATGGTTGCCAGGTCTTCCACTGAATCAGATTACCAATCTCTTACGCACATTCCTATAAAGCAGCATGATGTTTCTGACAAACACTAAATTAAGGCTTACCATATAGTCCTAAAATGCCCCAATGCTTCTTCTAGTATGCACTGTTAAAATGATCATTCAATTCAATGTGATATGGCCATAATTTCCTAATAGCATTTCCTACAACCACCACTCACGATGCCAAAATCCTCCTCTTATCATCCTATGCTACAAACTAGGACCAAGACGATTTTTTTCTTTTTTTAAATCATAAACTTAAAACTAATTCGACGACCTTCAAGTTTTGCGTTAAAATCAAAAGTGAGCGGCTCACTGGGAAGATCTCCCTCCTTGTATAGTCAAAAGGAACCTGCTTTTTTCATGCAGCTAAGTCTAGTATTACAGGATTCTCTCAGGGGCGAACTCCGTTGGGTCAGGCAAATGTCGTTTCTTGGCAGACAGTGCGCATAAAGCAACATATAGCGACAGGAAAATCCTTATCGAAGTCAGCAACATGTGAAATGTATCCTACAAGCAACACTAATCAATAAACATTTAAAACCACTTATGAAGAACTCTTCGTCGAATCAGCAGTACCTATAGGATTGAATCATTAGTTACCAAACGCAGAAAAATGTCAAAACTATACAGCACCCTTCAAAACTCGTAAAATCTCACAAATACAGAAACAGGGAATAAATTGGTGAAAGAAGATCCAATCAAGGGCCTTCGGTTTTACGACAGTACATAGCGAAAGAGTTAAAAGAGGACAGACCAGCGAGAATGCTTCTAGTAGCCACTACCGTCAACTGATTCGTATGTTGCTGCCGAGCAAGAAGGAGGCGATTTATGTAAATATAAGGCCGTCCCGCAGCCATTTCCAAGTTCCCCCGAAGCTTTACCCTTTCTCCAGCTTTATATAACCGGCTCTTCTTTGATATTTAAAGAGGAAATCCAAAAAAGAATATCCTCGCCTCAAATAACTAAAAAAATGTACTATATGATTAATTTTAATTATAATTTTAGGAAAAAAAAGTATGTCTCATAACATATATACTTGATTAAATATTTTTGTAATATGCTTATTTACATATATCTAAATGTTGATTTCAAACAAACTTATATCAAATAAGGGATAACTTCTTACATTCGTCGGTTACTCATTGGTATGAAAAATAATTTGAGCTTCACTCAAATTGTGATTTGAATTTTGGTTAAAATTGCGATTATGATTTGCTTCTAACACAAATGCTAAAGATGAAACTCTCATCACAACTTTACTTTTTCTTTCACATGTCATTGTCAACCCATTGATATTTGCTCCTAGTGCCCTTGTCACGAACTCCTCTTCTACTTAATAGGTTGTCGCTAGTCCATTGATGATTGCTCTTAGTACTTCTGTCATGAACTCCACCTCTCCTTCAAAAGTCTAAATTAGTTATCAATGCCTGCCTCAAACAAGTTCTCATCACAAACTCTTATTCTCATTCACACACTATTACTAGTTTGTGGCGGTTTGTCAATACTTGCATCCATTCAAATAAGCATGTTGCTATCAAACACAATCATTCCAACAAAATGACCTCAATGACAAAATTGTTGGAAAATAACTAATATATAATAGCAACATAAATCAATGTTTTCGATGCGAGCATTAACATTCAAATAAGCATGTTGCTATCAAACAAAACCATTCTAACAAATTGTACTTAAGGTAGCCACGTTGGTGCAACAAAGTAACATTGGTGGAGAGTAAGAACACCCTCAAATTATCTCCATATTTAATGTCCTCCTTATCTCATTAAAGTTACTTTCTTGTCTAGGTTGTCCATGAGAGTCTCGTGGACAACAAGAATAGCTTCAGTGGAGATATTGTCTAGGCTACCTAATTTATCTAAGCATTCATGAATAAGCATATTTTTTCTTTTTTTGTAATTAATTTATTTGTGTTATTATTATGGCTGACCAATAATTCTATTAATATAACATTGCGTACCTGTTTCTTGTTACAAATATTTTTTCAACTTACATTTTTTGTTGAATGTTTGCTTCTACTCATTAGCATTGCCATAGATTGCTCATTGCCTTCCTCATTAATGTCAACAAAAACTTGATGTTCCTTTTTGTACACTTATCTACAAAACTATTCTCATTTTTAATCATAAAATTATCACGAGTTGGTTGGAAATCCTCGTGTTCCTCTTACTATGCTTGATTAACATCTAGAATGTGCAATTGCCTCGATCGTAATGTTGTCCCAACAAATTTTCTCAAATGTATAATACTGATGAAAATGGTTCTTATGAAACCTTTCTAGCTTGGGGTAATCCTACATAGAAAGGCAAGAAATTTTCTTAGTTAATTTGTTAGTTCAATCCAAATGTACTATGGAAAATTAATTGTTATGGTTTCAATTATATATAAAATATTTCATCCCACACTTCACCTACCATGGTGGGAAAATACAGATTTGCATTCCATCCCCAACCACTATGATTTGAAAATTGTTATAACATATAAAAATTAGATTATATGTTTTTATACTGTATCAAAACTACCAATTTTGTATAATTTGTGCTTAGTCGATGATTCAATGTGAGTATGACCTCGAGCTACGCTACTTTCTTCAATGCACTATTAGTGATGTTTCAATACAAGAACTGCTCCTAAGTAACTCACATAGCTTGTGTCAGACCTTATATAATGTGGTTGCAATCATGCTTCTTAATCGATTGAAGCTTTGTATTCCAAATCTTATTTCTGAGAAACAGATAGCTTTTGTCTCTAAAGATTGATGATTGATCATTGTCTTTTGGCTCAAGATGTATTTTACAAATTCAGATTCTTTGCTTCAAAAAAGGTTTGATGGCTCTTAAATTAGGCATGGAGCAAGCTTATGATAGTATGAGATGGCAAGATTTGTCTAAATCATTGAAATGTGTGGCTATTCCTATTAAATTCTCCAATATGATTATGCAGTGTGTGCTTACTCCAATATTTTCTCTGTTAATAAATGGATGAAAAATTGAATTGATAGAGACAAAAAGTTGAATTCGGTTGAGATTCCCTTTGTTGCCTTATTTGTTTATCATGTGCTCCGAATTGTTATCTAAAGTTTTTCAACAAATAGGTGGTAAATTGTGTATTAAAATTGCTCCCAAAGATGAACTATTTCCAATCTTCTATATGTTGATAATGTGCTAATATTTGCTTAAGCATCTTCCAAATCAATGAGGAAAATAAATTGTATTGTAATTGATTATTGTTCCTTAACATGCCAAAGAATTAACACTGGTAAATCTATGGTAATTTTTGGTAAGTCGATTACTGATCGGAAGAAGAACAAGCTATCTTCTCAATTGGGCTATAGGTTGGTTAAAGAATTTACTTATTTGGGTGTTAAGGTAGCTTTAAGGAGTTTGGTAGCTTCAAATTTTGAATGTTTATTTAAATATTCTTTTTAGCTCTTCTGTCATTTTGTATTACTTATTCTTTAGTGCCTAAAGGATTTCTGAATGATCTTTACAGGTTATGTAGGAATTTTATTTGGCATAAAGACCAAGGGAGACCAAGCCTTCATTTTGTTGCTTGGGATCAACTTTGTATTCTATATGGACGTTGAAGGATGGGTCAGTTTTCAACCATTGCTACCCAAGGTCCCTTGAGGGCTAGAATTGGTTGGAATTTCTTTCATAATGCTAATTCTTTACTTAATATAAAAATTACTGCCAAGTATGTCAGTGACTTGTTGAATGGTGAAATCAAAAGTGGATCTTCGACTATTTGGAAAATTCTTGTTGAGGGAGCTAAATTCCTTAAGCCTTTAATTTGATGGAAGATAGCTAATGGGAAGAGGGTAAATACTTTGGAATATACTTGGATTTGGAATAAAGAGATGCATAATTATCCAATTATAGCATATTTCTAAATTTTGCAAGGGCTGAAGGTGGCCCAGTTACTTGAAGAAAATGGAAATTAGAATTTGAATAAGCATAATCAGTATTTTGGGGAGTAGTTGGTTCACTTTGTTTTATAGATCCCAATCAATATAAACCTTCCAGAAGATCAACATAATATTATGTTTATAATGTCAGGTAAAACTATTACAGGTTTGGCTTATGAAAAGTCTAGTATTCCTATTGTTGTCAAGATCAATAATCTAAAATGGATAAGGAGTCTAAATCTAACTCCTAAATAAAAATTATTCTTGTTGAGATTAAGTAGGAATGCTGTACCTACTAATGATTTGTTGGATTATATAAGGTTGTAGGAAGGGAATGTATGCTCGTGAGGATGACAAGCAATTGAAGATATTAAGCATATTTTTGTTAATTGTAAAAATTTGCATGATATTATCACTAAGCTGAATTAGTGGGGAATTCATATTCCTATGTTTACTTCATGGATATAATGTTTACAAGATATGGAGAGGAATGTTTATCAATGTCCAAGCATGGTTAGGAAGTGCTATAGTGTGGTTTATCATTCATGGAAAGAAAGAAACACATTCAAGCATGGTGTGAATGTTCCTACGTCTTTTATTTTGGTTGTTGATTTTCTTGCTTCTTCATTGAGGCTTCATTTAAATCCAATAAAGAATATATGGGATGCTAAACAGCTGATACAGCTAAATAAATTTTTTTTGGCATCCCCCACCTCCTTGTTGGATTAAAATTAATGTTGACGCATCTTTCCTCAAATCAGATATAATATGTATAGGAGTTGTTGTAATGATCACAAAGAAATGTTTTTACTTGCTTTTGGGAAAAAAATATATTATCATTAGGATATTACAAAGGTTGAGATACTAGTTGTTCTTGCACTTAAGGAGATTTCGCAAAGTTGGATGTATGATATGAAAAGTATGATCATTGAAGCTAATAATGTGAATATTATGAAAATCTACCATAAGTCAATAAATAAATCCAATTATCAAGATGTACAAAACTTGAAAGTGGATTTATCCTTTCTTAGTGATTTCAAGAAAGTCTTTTTTATTTGTATTTTTAGGCATTGTAATAAGTAGGCTTATTATTGTACCTCCATAGCTATTTTTAGATATTTCTTTTGGAATGCTTATTCGTTTAATAATTTTCTACCATCATTTATTGCGATGGTTAAGGAGGATTGTGATAGACTTTATATTACTTAGTTTTTTATATTTCTTTTCAATATGAATGCAAGATACACTTTACTTCAAAAAAAAAGGTAAAAATAGAATAATAATATGATACTCAGGCCACTTAGGTATTCTTTAGTACACTTTGATTGTCCAATATGGATTGAATATGTTGATCTAGACGTGCCTTATCACTTGAGTTGCCAACTTGTGTAGACTTTCCCTTCAATAATATCTCTGTTATCATTGTGAAATTAAAAAAACATGTATTTATGTCAAAATGAATTTAATTGAATGAGATTTTTTATATAATATCATATATATAATTAAATTATACCATTGTTATTCTCATTTTCTATATTTTGATGCTCAGTGTTTCTAAATGAAGGGTAGCTGTGGTTTGAGGACTCCTTATCACTCTAGTTGTTTAAAATGTCAAATGTGTAAGGGTCCAATTTTTTTCTCAGGAGTGTTGAAAATACAACAAGGAAATAACTATATTTTGTAATTATTTTTAGCCACTTTTTCTTTGTCCAGTAGTGTTCAAAGAAAGGAATATCAACTCTGTCATGTTGCATACTTTCTAGTGATCAAGATTTTCTATGTTGTACTCATTTTAAGTTCCCTTAATAATAACCAAATTTGAATTAACAAAATTATTAACGAACAAAAAATGGGCCTGAATAAAGGAATTAAAAGATATTTGGAAGCTTCAAAATATTTATTGGATGATCAAATAATTTCTAAATATGACATGATTATATTCAAATCAAACGGCTTAACTAGACGAATCGAATGATCCCATGATCTCTTAAT